AGTTCTGTTAAAGGTTCATAGTGTTGAAGAGATCCTTTACTGAAGCCCTGCACAGACCAAATATTTTTGTTATATTTGGAAAAATGAATGTACAATACACTTTGCTACTAAAGTCCTCTCTCTGTGTACAAATAGATAATAGAAGAAATGAGCCATCCCTCCTTCTGGTTCTAAAATGGGGAGGAGAATTGACCCCTGCAGGCAGAGTTCAAGCAGAGGAACTTGGAAGAGCTTTCAGGTGTATGTATCCAGGTGGACAAGGTAAAAAAAATTAATTATTATAATAATTTTTTACAAAAGTGTTGAATGTCACTTTTGAAGACAGTCAAGTGCAAAATAAAAGAGTTTGAGCAAAATGTTTGTTTGGTAGGAGATTATGCTGGATTTCCTGGATGTGGTTTACTTAGATTACATAGCACCTACCGACATGATCTCAAAATCTATGCTTCTGATGAGGGACGAGTTCAGATGACTGCAGCAGCCTTTGCAAAGGTACAGTGTGAAACGCTTATTTTCCGTTTTTAAATTCTGATGTCTTAAAGTTCGTTTTTACTTTTGAAGACTGGGAGAGATTTATGGTTTATTAGAAAAATGTATTTTCAGAGCCTAGTTCAGTGTTAAAAAGTATCCAATTAATGTGTCAAGCATTTGAAGTTCTTTGAGCAAATGAAGACAGGTTTTAATTCTACAGCCCTGTCCTAGGCACCTTTGTCCTTCAGGGCTCTCCTCCACAGAATTCCATAAACAAGCTGAAGTCTGCCCATTTGAAGTCCGGGGCTCTAATGCAAGTATTTGTCTTGTTCACTTCTCCAAGGATCTGTTTTAATGTCAGATTTCAATTACCATCGACCTTCACATTGCTGACACTTCTGAGTAACAGGTCCAGGTCAATTCCTCTGCTTGATTAGTAACCTGAGTCAAAGAATTGTCCTGGTTGTTTTTCAGAAATCTAGATTGCTTGTCCCCTGCAATATTGCCCATGTATGAGGTATGCAGGGCTAAGGGCACCCTTGAAGAACAGGTCTTGCAGTCACAAGGCTTTCTGCACTTGTGTTATGAAGGCTTCATCTATTTCCCCTTTTAAACTGGGTAGTCTGTAGCAGAGCCTTACCATGATGTTGCCCTGTGCTTTTTTTGTCCTCTGATCCTTACCAATGAGATCTCAACCTGTCACTGGTTTGAAAGCAAAGGACCTGGTGGTCAAGTTACTCCTCTATGTAGAGCCCTGCTCTGTCAGCTCTGACTTCCTAAAGGCCCTGTATCTACTTACAGCAAAACTCCGTTCTTGTGAACTACTATACCGCATCTCTGTAAGCTGAATTAATTTAAACCTCTACAAATCTTCAGACTTACTATTTCTCCTGTTTCTTGCTATGTTCCATTTGTTTGTAGAGAAATATTTCAGCCATCTGACCTGCTTTCTCCTTGGTCATCAGGCTTGAAGAGACACCCTGTC